GTGTAAAAGGGCTCAGGGTTTAGGGGGTTGGGGTTTAGGGGTGTAGGGTTTTGGGCAGAATGCCAGACAGGATTTTGGGCAGGTTTGGAGTCGGGGTTGGCGAAGGTATTCCTAGTAGCTGAGCGGATACACTTTACACTTTTTGGGGGAAATATTACCCACCATAAAACTAAATGTGTACACTTTTGAGGGGCTTATGAACTCAGCAACTAAGTATTAGTTTGACATGAGTGTGTTACATCACTGGCTTCTCGATCCTCTTCCGCTTGCAGCCAGGCTCAGTCTAGTCCAGGCCTTGACGACCCCTACTTGAGTAAACTATAGTAATGAGCCCAATTTGGGGACTTATAACCCTACGTATAACTACCCATGAACCTCCAAGTACGTAGGCCCAACACGAAGCCTCTTGCAGGCCATCGACGTCCGCATGCAGCAGCTCCAGGACTTAGTTGACCGCAGCAAGGACCCGGAACCACAAGCTTGCGTCATGTTTCAGAGGGGGGATGCGGTAAACCCTACCCTAAACCCTAAAACCTAAGCCCTACAACCCTAAGCCCTAAAGCCCTGGTGTCCGGCAGACGTTAGAAGGATTTCTCCGAAAGATCATTAGGCCAAGCTTTGAGGGACTCAGCCAGCCTGGGCTCGAGCTGTTTACCCAAATGGGAGTTTCCGAAAATAGGGGATCCTAATATAGGACCCTAAATAGTAGGATGCTTATTATAAGTATAAGGACCCCGAAATAAGTTGAAATAAGGTACCCCCTAATTTTCGGAACTCCCAAATACTTATCAACCCTGATTATAAACTCCCCCAAAACCCGATGTGGGTAGCGTCTGCAGGTGGTAAAAGGCGTTCAAGAAAGCCTTACTTGGAGGGTCGGGGGACTTAGTAACTGCTTATTTTAGGGACTTATAAGTACCATAACCCCAGTTAGGGTCCCTTTTAGGATACTTATAAGTCTACTTACTACCTACTTACTAAGTCCCCCGACCCTCCAAGTAAGGCCTGACTATACGCTCTACGCCTGAGGGCTCTTGGGTAGGAGCCGCCTGCATAGCTTGCGGCGCCTCGAACCTCACACCAAAGCTCTCGGGGGCCTCAAAAGCTAGGATGAAGGTAAGGTGGGACATTCCCAAATAAGAGTCCCCCTTAATTAAGGAATATAGCTTAAATCATATAGGGCTTCATATTATGATTTTTCAGGGATCCTTTATCCCACCTACCTTCATCCCACCTTGTGAGGCCTCAGAAGCTCTGAGCTCCGAGCCGGTAAAGGGCTCTGTAGTTGCTGTTTTGGGTCTGCCAAAAGTGATCCTATACCCAGAGAGCCCAATACCCCTTAATTAAGGAATATGGCTTAAATCATATAGGGCTTCATATTATGATTTAAGCTGTATTCCTTAATTAAGGGGTATTTGGGCTTTCTGGGTACCAGGTAGCCCGAAAAAGGGAGCTGCCATCGAGACTGTACGTAGGTATGGGGCAACAGCAGCAGAAACAAGACGCTAAATGCAAGAGCCACGTGGTCCTGGTAGGACAGCGACGATGAAAACGCTGCGAGCGACAACACCAGCCGCTCGTTTCATATCGCTTGGGTTCTCTCATCCGAGACTGCGGCTGCCTGCGGGGTTTATCCTTATCAGTGTTGGCGGATTCAATGGGCCACGAGTCTGAAGTCTCAGAGACAAGTAACCTGTGCATGTTGCATCATGCCTCCACCTGTCACTAAACCCAGAACCCAGGTCTTGGCATGAACTTGGCGCGGAAGATCCTCAACAACATCACCGTGGTCTTGGAGGCCTCGAGTTTGGGTGTTATATACACACACAAACTCATACTAATATATATATATATATATATATATATATATATAACACATACATAACACTTATAAAAACATTACATATATATATATATGTATGTATGTATATATATATATATATGCACACAAACTATACTACAAGCTCAAACTTTTCGTACGTCTTGGGCGGTATCTCTGGATCTTTCGTTACGGACTGGGAATTCGAGTTTTCACAGTTCATGCCTAAGTTCCAACCAAGCACGCTGCATAGTTTACCTCAACAGCGTCTAACAACCTCCCAGAAGATGAAGAAAGTTGCGCTACTGCAGTATCACCAGCTGCTGTCGATGGCCATGCAGATGTTCCTAAAACCTAAACTTGTGCACCGCAACTCTGTGAAAGACTTGAAGTGACAGCATGTCTGCCCGACAGGACGTCCATGTTGCTTTCATGAACAGCCAGCGTGGGCTGGCATGCTGCATGGCGTCTCGGCAGAATGATGGACAGGCTGATTTGCTGCAGCATGTCCAAAACCAAGAGTGCCTGTGCTCCGCCGACTATTGAATTGCTGACATCACCTTGGCAGGATATGACGCTTAGTTTCGCAAACTCATAACTGAATGACTGACATCACTTTGGCAAGATATGACGCTTGGAGTCGCAAACTCAGGACTTGCCGAACCTGGCGGTCTTGTCTACAGATAAGACATTCCGCGAGCGGGATGACTCGGAAGGCCAGACAGTCGCCCTTGTGCCAGAATGTCTGAGTTTAACATTTTGAACCGAGGCGGTGCATATATATATATATATGTATATATAATTTACATGTATATATATATATATATATATTTATATTTATATTTATATTTATTTATATATACACGTATATCACGGTCATGATTCTGGAATGAGTCGCCCCAGACCATAAAGCAGAATGGTCTTTTGGAGCTCAGTATTTACAGGGGATATGGCTTTTGCCCTGCTGCTGTGGACGGCTACGCCATCGGGCGGGAGGCTTTCCCTAAACCCCTAAACCCTAAGTCCTAAACCCTTAACGCCTAAACCCGTAAACCCCTAAACCCTAAACCCCCTAAACCCCTAAGCCCTAAATCCTAAACCATGCTGGGTCCACAGGCGGCCCGTGTTGATTTGCATTTATCCGTCCTTGGGTCCTTTACGGTTTGGGGCTTGGGGTCCTGTCCCGGCCAACACAGGGATCACATTTGTTCCTTCAGGCTTTGGAAAAGCCCAAACTTCGAAGGGAAAGGGCAAATCTTGACATGTTGACGGTTTCGCCAGGCTGCAGTTGGGTTTGGCTTAGGTTTGGGGGATCATGCAGTTTACGGCTTAGGTTAGGGATTCAGGCTTTAGGGTTCCATCTCTCACGGAGCCTGGCTAAAGTGCCTGAATCGCCTGCGGAGGTGCCGTGGTTCCTGGCGAGTCGATGTACAAAACCCTACAGATGAAGGCAGCAGGGAACGACCAGGGGCTAAGGCTCTAAGGTTTAAGTTTGGGCCATATGGGTTTCACTTATACTGCCCGCCCTCTTCATTCCCTGAAAGCTGCCCTGTTCTTAGCGAGGCTTCCTTCACGTCTGTACTGCTTAGTTGAGATCAAATCATCATTGTTATACTGTCATCATACAATCACATGGTATTATTGGAGCCTGATTAAAAAAACTTGTAGCTTTATTGGGGTTCTTTCGTCATGTTTCCTGGTCAAATGGGCCAAGTTCTGACCGTATCCACCCCCCAATACCACACGTCTAAACGCCAAACAAGCCTAATGAAAGCAAGCATAGACCCTAAACCCTAGACAAACAAACCCTTGAACAAACCAAAAACCCAAACCCTATTAACCCTAAAATTGCCTGCCAGCCTGATCCCAAAAGTTTGGATCGGAAGGGTCTGTTTGATCGCATTGCGTATCATTGTACACACCTTTTACCATAAGTTGTCGTCCTAGTGCATGTAAGTTTTTTGTATTCCCATCTTCTTCGTTTATGCTTGGCAATGGTGTATGTTGCCGTGTAGGTGGCTGCAACATTTAATGTCTCATTGTCAGAATCGCCCCGTGAAGGACTTTAGCGTCCGAATGTCGCCCGCTGGCACCAGAGACCTCCAGGAGCACGCTAGACACTAAAGGGGAAACTCTCAAGCCCTCCTTGGCTGTCTTGTGGGAGTGCGAGCGTCGAAAACAGTAAACCCCAAACCCCCTTAACTCTAAATGGGTAGTTGTCAAAATTAGGGTCCTTTTTGGGGTCCCTAATATAATACGGCACCTATTATTTAGGGTACCCCAAAAGGTGCCATAATTTTGACAACCACCCACGTCTTTCCTCCTTGAATGCAATGTCCAGGGGCCAGGTCCCACCATGTCCCACCGAAGTACCAGTTTACCCTGTTTCCCAGAGAGCCCAACACCCCTTAATTAAGGAATATACCTTAAATCATAATATGAAGCCCTATATAATTTAAGCCATATTCCTGAAATAAGGGGTATTGGGCTCTCTGGGTTCGGAGTATTAAGACAAGAAGGGGATTCTGGGGAGGCTGGTAGGCTTTTTTTCGTAGGTCCTGGCAAGACGGTCTTGGGTTCTAGCTTCCAGGGTATTTGGTTTTGGGATTGGGGTTTTGCGTAGTAGATTAGGCTTCAGGGTACCGTGGAGGGTTCGGGCCAGATTGGGTTTAGAGTTTAGAGATTTAGTTCTTGAGTTCATCGCATGTGGCGTTGGGGGTTGGTTTTCAGACTTAGGGGACCGCTACTTGACGATGGTCTGTCTTGAAGAGTTGCTGTTGTAGTAGACTGGCCATGACACAGGCGACTCGAAAACGCAAGAAGAACTGCACTCATCGAGAGTGTCTGACAGCGGCACCATCACAGCCATGCCTGTCGGCCACATAGTCTCTCTGTCTCTCCCTCCTCGCTTCCTCCCTTTGTGTCTCTCTGAGAAAAAAACTTGCGACGATGAGGGAGTCCGGGGAGTGTGAGGGAGAGTGACCCTGAAGCTGAGGGAGGAGTATTGGTATAGGGGCCCCGAAATTGAATAATACCTGATTGATTATACATTATTCCGTCTTTATACTCTCTCTCTCTCTACATATATACATATATATAAATTCACTCACACCCAATCATCCTATTCCCCAACGTTTTGAGTGTACAGGTACTGGCTAGCCTGTAGAGCTGGTCCCCTTGCATGGAGGAGGCGGCGTACGTGCTGAGCCCCGTGAGTGCAAATCTACAACTGTCCCATGAGCCTGCCAACAATCTCCTGTGCCTGGGACGCAATGTCCACGTGCACAACAGGTCCGGTAGAATCGGGCTTGGAAGCCCGCTACCCGCCCAAAACTCTAGACCCCTACTCTATTTTGTGCGCTGCGTGGGAAATATTCCATGCATTCGGGGAGGCATTGCGGTTCTTTTTCCCGCTGTGTTCGCAGGGTGGATCTTCTCTGCAGGGCTTTAGGGGGTTTAGGGCTTAGGGTCGGCTTTGAGGCTGTTGACACCAGTCGGACTCACTAGGAGGTACCAAGGTCGTCTTGCGGATTACTCCAGTTTTGGCTATGCCCCTGCGATCTGAGTCGTACATTTTGGCAATCCGAGCGACCAGCAGAGTGAACTCTGGGCAAGCCATGAACACCTTTGACCCCAGGGCCACGGGTTTCGAGCAAAGAGCAGTCGAAATGCACTGCGCAAAGGAAGATCAAGCTCATGGTTGCCACGGAGGAGTTGGCTGAGGTCTTCCTCCGACGGTCTCAGGCAGGGCCCAGATGTTTGCAACTCACGACCCGATAGAGTCGTGGTAGGTATGATGTTCCATCATTGCCAGGAGAAACAATGTGCTGCTTTTTATGTCGCAGTATTGCCTCGCAAGAACCCTCTAAAGAACCCATACAGCAATTTTTCTTGTGGAGCCTCCTTGATTCGTTTTTGTGGTTCTCGCATGCGGCTCATTGCAATAACCCGAAGCTTTTGTCGTGCAGGTGAAGCATCTTCGAAGCATCAAGAGCACCTGGGACCTTGATTGAGAGTCCTCCGCAAGTCGACTTCGAGTGGCTTAACTAGTGTCGATTAGCCGCGGTTCTTTGCCCTTGTAGGTTGATACAAGCCATGGAATTGACTTCAAGGTGCAAGTGAGGCTATGTTTCGATGGCTTGCAATCAGCTGCTGATGACTTGCCATAGAGCCCCGAAGCATCTTAATGAGTTCCTACTCGTGTGGATAACTTTAGGGGACCCTGCAGAGGGCATAACTTAGGGCTTAGGGTCGGGCTTGGATGGTTGGGTTTATTCCGATGCTTTTAAGACCCGTCATGATGGTAAGCCATTTCCCAAAGTCCAGGGGTCCCCTCCACTCTAACCCTCCTAGGTTATCGCCCTAGACTAGACATGCAGTGAGAACGATAGAGGTACAATGCACAAGAACGGTAAGATGCGATAAGCATTCTTCGCCCATGTCGTTGAGGTGACCTCAACGAAGAGGCACGAAAGTTTCACCTGATGCTGGTTCCAGAGGCGGATCAGAAGGAGATCAACCAGGACAAGGGGCGTGGGGTTCAGCGTTTGGTTCGTTTTCCGGAGCTTGCCTCCCTTGAGCTCAGAGAACATTCTTACTCTAGTCGTTGAGCTGCCAAGCCAGTTAGGGAACACAGTCATCTTCCTGGGCTGCAGTGAGCCCGGAAAGCTAAAGATCACCCGCAGCCAGAGAAGTGCAGGATTCAGCCCCTGGCCGGCCGCTCCGCAAAGACCACAAGCAAAACCGTGTATCCTTTGGCACTGTAGGCGGCACTCTAGCACACTGCTGCATTGGTCGTATAAAGTAAGGAGTTGGTCATAGCTGATGCTGATATTGGGGACCCTCAAACTCTAAACCAGTGTAGGGCTTGCAAATAGGATGCCGGCATGCCGGTGACTCTAAACCGTAAACCCAAAGCCCAGTCTCTAATCCAGTATAGAGCTTTCAAGCAGGATGCCGGTGACTCGACTGATGAGTACAGCCAACTCTACGAGCGATCAATTGCAGAGGCGCGCAGCGGATTGATTCGGGATTTAACCGAGGGTTCTGGCGGTTCTGGCAATCTTTCCTGACAGTATCCGTAACATAAGCAAACACGAACAGTGCAATATGTCCCAAAACCCTTTTGAACAAATGACGGCCCGGAGTAAAAGCCTTACAGACGTTATGAGGGCCCATAACAGGCTATATCAGTAGCACCCTTCAAGACAGTTCAAGAACTCATTTCTAGCTGTGCAGCCCGACATGGGGTTTGTCAATCAGGGCTTGGCGCTTAGCAAAGGGTTTAGTGTGCGTAAATCCCAAATCCTAAACCCTACTGTGATCTACAACAGTGTATGCCGTAATGACGGCTGAGCCTCTGCAGAAAAGGCCCATTGCACTAAGAAAAACCTGCCGTGATCCCTGCGATGGCATCGTGTTTCAAAGGATGTCCCACCATCCCAGACCTCAGGCCTGGGCTCTTGTTAAGGAGGTTTAATTTAAGTTACCGCAATAAGGAATGCCTAGGGTTACTTTGCGGGATCTATAGGGTTTAGGGTTCTTGTTAAAGGGGTTTCATTGCAGCTGCCAGAATAAGGACACCGTATTATTAACTATAGATCCTTATTAGGGTAACTTGAATTAAATTCGTAAAAGATATCCCTTAGAATACGATATTCCCTATAGTCACTATTACAGGGTGGGGTCCCCTTCTAAGGTATATCATGACTATTATTACCATTATTAATACTATTGCGACCATTATTACCATTATTGCTAGTATTACTACTGTTGATGGACAAAATCCTGCATTACCCATTATAAGGAAATATACCATAGTTCCCATAGTTTAGAGTCCGTAGGGTCATGCAGGATTTTGTCCATCAGCAGTATTACTATTGGTTCTAGGACTCCCGAAGCTGGCATCCCAGGCCTGGCAGATCCTGTCCCCGGACCTGCCGCCGGGCTCATCTGGGTCAGTTTTGGCTTCGGGTGTTTTTTTTTGGGTTCCTTTAAGGGTCCCTTTAAAGGGATCTATAGGGATATAGGGGTTCCTTTAAGGGCCCCTTTAAAGGGATCTATAGGAATTCTATTCCTTTAAGGATCCCTTTAAAGGGATCTTTAGGGATTGTAGAAGGGTATAGGGTTTAGGGCCTCTACTTGGAGGTTCATGGGTAGGGTGGTTGTCAAAATTATGGTCCCTGTTTGGGCACCCTAAATATTAGGTGCCGTATTATCATAAGGACCTAAAAAGGGGACCCTAATATTGACAACCACCCATAAGTGGGGATATAAGTCCCGTAATAGGAGTTATAGTTATAGCTACCCTGCTTATAACTCCACTTATAGCTACCCTAAACCCTAAACCCTATAGAACCCTTAAAGGATCCCTTAAAGGAACCCCTATAACCCCACTTATAACTACCCATGAACCTCCAAGTAGGGCCTTGAGGGTTGCAAAAGGGTTTAGGTTAGTAAGTAGGTAGTAAGTAGACTTATAAGTACCCTAAAAGGGACCCTAATTGGGGTTATGGTACTTATAAGTCCCTAAAATAGCCAGTTACTAAGTCCCCCGACCCTCCAAGTAGGGTTTTGGATCAGAGGCTGAGTTCAAAAGGGTTTGGGCAGAGGTGGGTTTTGCAACTTGTCCAAAGCATCCCCGACAGTCTATCACGCATCCCAAAGAGAGGGATGGACAAAGCCTCAAGGCATCAGCTCGCGGAGACTTCGGGTACATGGGAGTTTTCGAAAATTAGGGGTACCAGATGTTGGCGTCCTCATAAAAAGGATCCTACTGTCCTACTATTTAGGGTACGATACTAGGTTGCCCTAGTTTTCGGAAACTCCCATATTGAGTGCTGCCCCTAAGCCCTACCCCCTAAACCCCGAAATCCTGAATAAACCCCTGGCATGAGGAGACCGTTGTCGCCAGAAGACGAACGGCGGAAGCAACTCCTCGAGGACTTTGGCTTGCGTGTAATGTGGGAGTTTCCGAAATTAGGGGTACCTTATTTTGGGGTCATTATAATAAGGGTCCGATTGTTTAAGGTACTATATTCGCGTCCCTTTCGGAAACCCCCATGTAGTAATGCAGACGTGGTAACTATAGCCCCTGAGGTTCGAAGGATGCGACTAAGAGGGACCATGGTTTAGAGAACTACACACTGAGGCCTCTGAGTTTCGAAGAACCCTAAACCCTAAACCAAACGGGGCCTTGTTCCTGGCTAAGTAGGAGGGAAAAAACCCTAATTCACACAACTACCCTAAATCCTAAACCCACCAGGGCCCCTGAGTTCCGAAGGATGCCCAAACTCTATTCAGGGTTATAGAGCCTGATAGCCCCACAGCCCTAAACCCTAAAACCCTAAATCCTAAACCCTACCTTAAACCCTAGCCCCACCTGGGCCCGCACCTGGGCCCCTGAGCTTCGAAGGATGCCCAAACTCTACCCTAAAACCCTAAAGCCCTAAACCCTCAATCCTAAACCCTAAACCCTACCTTAAACCCTAAACCCTACCTTAAACCCTAAACCCTACCTTAAACCCCTAAACCCTACCTTAAACCTCTAAACCCTACCTTAAACCCTAAACCCGAAAGCCCTAAACCCTACCTTAAACCCTAAACCCGAAATTCCTAAACCCCACCTTAAACCCCCTGAGCTTCGAAGGATGCCTTGTCAGCCCGGCTTCTGGCCCGAGCCCGCTGGAAGGTGGAGAGGAAGGCTGAGGCCGGGAAGGGCTCCTTTAAAGGGGATCTTTTGGGTTCCTTTAAGGGTCCCTTTAAAGGGATCTATAGGGATCCTTTTAGGGTCCCTTTAAAGGGATCTATAGGGTTCCTTTAAGGGTCCCTTTAAAGGGATCTAGAGGGATTCTACAAGGGAAAAGGGTTTAGGGCCCCTTTAAAGGGATCTATAGGGATTCTATAAGGGTATAGGGTTTAGGGTTTTAGGGTTCAGGGGTTTGGGGATTTGGGGTTTAGGGAATAGGGTTTAGAGATTGAGGTTTGGGGATAATATAGGGTTTAGAGATTCAGGTTTAGGTTTTGGGGTTCAGGGGTTTGCTTGGTCATAGTTGGGTAACATTTTAAATTTTTATGGGTACTTAAACTCAATAAGGAATAAACATGTATATACATCTTAGATCCTATCCCAACCATGAATTAGTATGGGTTTAGGGTTCAGCATTTAGGGTTTAGGGATTAAGGTTTAGGGCAGAGTCTTGATTTAGGGTGCAGAGTTTGGGATTGGGTGTACCGGTGTACCTCAACACCAACCAAGAGACGTGGCTTTATGACAGACTTGTATCAGAAAACTCTTGCGACGCTTTAAGATGCAGGTCGTGCTTAGGACGTAGGACTTAGGGCTTAAAGGGTTTAGGGGTTTCTGCAAAAGGGGTCAGGATTTTTGGCGACAGGTTCCAGGTTTTATGATTCTGCTCCGGTCAAGGCCTGAGCAGTTGAGTTGAAGCTTTTCAGCCCTGGATCGACATCTACCGGTTTAGGGTTTTGGGTTTAGGTTTAGGGTTTAGGGTTTAGGTTTAGGGTTTAGGGTTTTCAATCTCTACTAACCATTGATATTGGAGGAGCTAAGGAGCCAGGGAGGATGATAATCCCGATGAATTTATAGGAGCTAAGGAGCCAAGGGAACACCCAAAACCACTGGTTAGTCTACCTTCCTCAGGAATGATTAGTTCAATCGTCGCAACGCTGAGACACATAAGCCTGAACCTTGCCCTCTAGCTCGGTCCCACGCCCTGAGCCAGATCGTAGGCCTTAGCCCCAAGAGCTCCACCACCTCAAACCGTCCCCAACGGAGTCCAATGTACCCAACACTTATTTCGATTGTTTTAGTGTCGTATGGTATAGGTAGTTGTGTTAACGATAGTAGAAACTGTCGTCTAGTTTTGCTGGGGAGGCTATGCTTCTTAGGTGCCTGGTCATTTAGAGCCCTTGAGTTCATGCAGGTGCTGAACGAAGAGGTCGTCCGCCGCAAGCGCAGGCAGGAGGAGTCCCGCGTGGCAGAGCAGAGGAAGAAGAGCCTCGTCAGTTTTTGGCTTCCTCTGATGGGTTTATAAGGCTAAAGGCCGTTTACGGCTGAGGTGGGTTGTTCGGGCACCCAAAGCCCGTGCTGAAGAAAGTGGGTTGTAGGGTATATGGTAGAGCTCGGAGGGTTTAGTAACAATATCCCACAGTTGACACCCCATTGCGTTAAGTGTGCTCGATATATAAGGTCTTCTTGGGGCTTCAGGGACCCCAAGAACGGAAGGTTTTTGTGCTCAGTGGGTTTTAGGCCTTGGGTTCGGGTTGGCTGTTTAGGGGGTACGAGTAGCATGAGGCGTCTTCGGCTGCAAGGTGTCTTACTCGAGCGCTAGACGCATGGGTACGGCAGAACATGAAAACCTAAATCCCCGGCCCCGAAACCAAACACGCCCTGCAAACCCTGAAGCCCTATATCCTGATGCCCTATAAAACCTACATCCTATAACCCTAACCCTGCAGCCCTCAGGTCTTAGGCCTTAGGTATACCTACAAAACACCCTGAACCCTAGGCCCATGCATGGAGAGTCCGGGTTGCGAGAGCCCAACCCCCTAGCCCGGAACCCCGTGGCCTTTCAGGACCGGCTTGCTAGGGCGTTTCTGGGGCCGGCAGGAGTCGGAGGACGAGGCTGGTGCTTCTGAAATATTCTGGTCATAGATCGGGTTTTGGGTTTACAGGTTGATGATGATACTAATCATTGTCAGACTCCATAGCGATGCTGCAGGTCACGACGATTTATAGTAAGGTAGAGGCCGTCTCGGTAGAGCGATGCGGAATTCTGACCTAGGCAAGAGTTTGGGTTGGTTCCTAGGCCTGCCGGTTCTCCTGCGCTGTTTGTTTGTTGCTCTTGGCTTTCCACGGCGGCCCTTAAAGGAACTTTAAAGCCCCATCATGACCACCATGCCCTTAGTCTCAGAAGTGGCATCAGAAGCCCTGGTTTGGGAGCAAGGTGGAGGCGCCAGAGACGGCGCTCCTCTCATCCGAGGAGCGGGTCGATCCAGCTAATGCATACACACACATACATATTATATACAGATCTGAACAATATTCATATATATATATATACATATATATATATATAAAGATGTAAAAAGTATTAGAATACATGAATTTCAATTACCGGAAAGGATGTCAATAAAGAACCACAGCAGTCGTTGAGCGCCAACTTCCTCAAGCCAGCGAGCCTTGCGGTTCTGAAGAAGACTTTTACACTTCTCAACCCCAAGCAGCCTACTTGGAGGTTCATGGGTAGCCATAAGTGGGGTCATAAGTCCCCTAATAGTTATAGTTACCCTACTTATAACCCCGCTTACAACTACCCATGAACCTCCAAGTAGGCCCTAACCCCTATACCCTTACGTAAAATCCCTTTAAAGGGGCCCTTAAAGGGTTAATTCAACCAGCCTGAGTCTGCTGCACCATTAGTGACAGGACTGCTCAAACCATCATGCCCACACCTCAGCTCTCCCGTCCCAAGTCCCCGAAAACTTCCTGAACCCCAAATAGAAAAGGCCCCGGATGCCCCTTTTGGTCTTAGGCCTTGGGAACGAGGAAAGAGTCCCATTCCGCCCACCTGAGGAGAAGGATCAACTGCTCACCGATCTGAAAGACGTGAGCAAGGCCGAGTTTACGGTTAAGGGGGTTCTAGGGGTTCCTTTAAAGGGATATATAGGGGTTCCTTAAAGGGATCTATAAGGATTCGGTAAAGGGACTTACCTAGACCCTCAAAAGTAGGTAAAATAATGGCCCAAAACCTATAAAAGGCCATTCTTCTACATACTTTTGGGGTCCAGGTAGAGGTTAGGGATGTAGGGGTTTCCTGGCTTGAGGGATTGATCCTGAAGGGTCAAGGGCTGGAGGGTGTCCTGAAAGAAGGGTTCACAGTCAAGCTTTAAGCCGCAATGGGGTACCCTCAAACCCTGAAACCCTCTATGTAGGCTTCAACAGCCTTCATCCCTCAGCCCCAAGCTCTAAGACTGCGACCCCTGAGCCCGAAGCTCATAGATGGAGGTGGAGCAAGTGGACGTGCCGAAGAGGTTCAGCTTCGAATTCGTCCTGGGGCAGATGGCCTTAGACCTGCCGCTGGTCCTGGTTGGTTCCAAGGGTTTAGGGTTTAGGGTGGATGGCGCTTTGTGGAGAAGCTTTGTCGGTATCTACATCGGGGTTTTAAGCATAGGTTTGCAGGTCCGGGATGGTTGCATGTAGCATAGTACTTGTTCTGCTGTCTCTGGCGACAAAAACCCGGTGGATACATACGGGATTAGTTAATCTTCGAGTAAACTTGGTATTCTTCTTAAGATGACTGCTTTTGCATCTGCTATCTCCTACAGTGACAATGACAACGAGCTTTCTTGCTACATTTCGAGTTTGACTCTCTAGTGCAGGAGTTGGGAAGAAATGTCGAGTGCATGCAGCTCAAGTCCACCAGAATTCCAGATCTGGGTCTCCATCGAGTCGTAATTTCACTCGGAGCCCTAAACCCTTTATCCCCCTAAACCCTGAACCCTAAACCCCTCAACCCTAAATCTGCTGAAACCCCTCAACCCTAAATCTGGAGACTTCCATGTCTCAAAATTCAGCACGGGAGGTGATGTCGAAGCCTTCTGTCATCCAAGTCCCTCGTACTGCGGACGGTTTCCCGACAAACCCTGGTGAGCCCTAAACTCGCCCCCACACCCAAACTCTAAACCCCTAAGCTCTCAACCCCTAAACTCCCAAACCCCTGAACCCTGAAACCCTATAGCCTATACCCAAACTCAAAAGCTGGCACACTAGGTCCTCAGAACCAGGAAACCCAAGCAGAAGCGTGTGAACAGGATCGACGACCAGCACCAAGACGAGGCGCAGTCAACATTTTCAATATGAGGTTGTGCATATACACATGTATATCTAGCTAAAAAAATGCATCTACATATTCATACATATGTATACACATACACACAGACCATTCTACATAGTATATGGGCCAGGTCAGTGGATCCCGGGCCGTTTTGGTCTCGGGGCTTCTGTCGGATCCGGCGTCGCTCTGTCGGAGCTGACAGGTAGCTTCAGGGAGCTGACCTGGCCTGTGTGTACTACCATAGAATTGTCTGTGTGTATATATATATATATACACACATACATGTAGCACATGTTGTACAAATTTTCAGATATTACGATTAAACCCAGCCATGACAGTCTGCGCACACATTCATTGATTTTGGTATTGCGTGTTCCCGGCTGGCTAGGTGCGCCGCCAGCTGATGAGCCTTGCACTGCGCGAGGCTGGTATCAAGCTAGCCGCTCGGGATGCAACCGCACACAGACTAATCCCGGAGCAACTATGAATAGCCCCGCTGAAGCGACGGGTCGGAACGCTGAAGTCACTAAACCGCTCCAAGGCCCATTCAAACCCGCCTTACAAAGCCTAGGACATCAACATGGCCACGGACTTCCGGGGACGTGATTCTGCGGAATGGGGGATGAAGATCGATCTGTGGCCTGGCAGACTTTTCGTAGCCATCCAGGTATTCTCCCGTTGGGCTGATCCTGGAGCCCTTGGAGCCCACTCTAAACAAGTTCAGGGTTTAAAAGGGGTTTAAGGGTTTGGGGTTTAGGGTTAGGGGGAAAGAGGGGGCTCTTGCTGTTAACGGGCTGCTGGATAACGAGGCCTGCTGCAAAAGGGGTTTCTAAACCCCGAACTCTAAGCCTAACCGAACTTATACAACAAATCCTAAGTCCTTCAGATTCCACCTCCCAGCTCGGCTTCCCGTCACAAAGGAAGTCCTTCCATGCGCTGCACCAGACAAGGCCGGGGACTTTTAGGGTGTAGAGGGCCCTGTGCCCAGACCCCCGGCAGGATCTAGAAAGTAGAGTAGGGTTTAGGGTTTAGGGTTTAGGGTTTAGGGTTTAGGGATTTAGGGTTTAGGGTTTAGGGGTTTAGGGTTTAGGGTTTAGGGTTTAGGGATCCCCAAATTTGGGGCCCTATACTACTAAGGGTACTTTATAGGAACCCCCATTAAGGGATCTACTTTTTGGATCCTCCCGCGGGTCTGTGTAATAGTAACATGCATCATCACCAGCATCATCATTATCATCATCATGATTGTCATCATCATCACAATAATGGTGAGGAAAACACCAAAATACCAATGCTAGTAACAATATATGTATTATTGATCACACGAATTGCGCGACACTGCGACAACTAAATCGTCATATATATATATATATATATATATATATATGGATTTCATACAAAACAGCAGTAATCATTATAGCTCTGACTCTAATCCGATAATATTAATGATAAGCACCATACTGAGGCGGAGAAGAAGTACAAGAATAGGGGTGTGCCGTGCATGATACTCGCAGTATATTGGGATCTCGTTGGAATAGGTTAACTAGTCGTCCATATGCCTTTGCTGGCCCACTAGACGGCCGGCACCACACCGGTCTTCTACCACGGCACTTTGTTTGCTGGGTTTTCACTTTTCCGGCCTGCTGGGGTGCGATGGCCGAAATGCATTATTAATGAGCAGCCAGAGCTCAGCTGAGTTACGAGCTGGACTCATCTTGTGTGTCTGGTTCCTTCAATCCTACAATAGTTATAAAGAGCCTGAATAATTGGCAACATTTTCCCCAGGGTTCTTGAATGGAACTATACCATCATATATGGCAAGGCCTGCTTCCAATCTTCAAGGCCTCTAAAACCTCGAACCCCTGAGCCCTAATCATGAGTCGGCTGCCTTTGCCGGGCTTGGAACCTGTCGCCATCTGTAGTATGGGTATGTGTATATGTATACACACATATATATATATAATATGTATATGCACATATATATGTGGTGTATATATATATATATATATATATGTGTGTGTATATATATACATATGTATACTCACGAGGCAGTTAAAGGCTAAAGGTAGCCATTCATAGACCTCTTGCTGTATCCGCAAACCCTAAGACCCTATCCGCTGCAGGGCCTTCATGCAGTTGAAGTCCGTGGGCTTGGATGGAAAGGACCACTCCCAGTGGCTCTCAGACGGCTCCAGTGCCGCCAGCCCCTGGGACTCAGAAACTCCCAGACTCTCTTAACTCCTTATACCCAGAGAACCCAATACCCCTTAATTAAGGAATATACCTTAAATTATAGAGGCCTTAATATTATGATTTAAGGTATATTCCTTAATTAAGGGGTATTGGGATCTCTGGGTAAGGGTTCCTTTAAGGGTTCTATAAGGTTAGTATAAGGAGTTCCTTGAAAGGATTTTTTGAGGCCCTATAAAGGCCGCGTCGAAGCTGAGTAGGGATGCTTGATCTGCATGGATTAAAACCGAGCAGTATAGGCCCAGGGTTTCGAGTACACTGGGGTTTTGTCTTGAAGGTTGCTTTGCGGGGCTTACTCTAGGTGTCGGAATACCTACCAGTACGGTTCACGCGGGTGCCTGCTAATGCCCAAAACCCTGTTCCAATTAGTAAGGTAAGGTCCACATATATGCCCACTTATTATGTGGGCTTTACTCGAAGTTTACTCGAGTGTTGTGACGGCTTGGCAGGGGAAGCGACTCTAGCGCCGACGAGGGTAAGCCCTGTGTTGGGAGCTCATGGAAGAGGGCTGAAAGTAGAAACCGCGCCGCCCTACACACAAGGGCTTAGACAGACTACCGACACCAGGTTTCGACATCCAGAGCAAGCTCCAGAAGGAGCAGAACTTGCTGGACATCTCATTCAAGCTCCTCGCCCAGCAGCGGGGAGGGGCTGGGACATTTGCACAGCTCCCCCCCAAATCAGAGCAGGAAGTAGAGTTTTGGGATTGCAACAAAACCGAATCGAGAAGATGGTGGTCATGGTGATGGGCAGAATGATATGGGAGTTTCCGAAAATTGGGGACCCTAACATAGTACCCCAAATAATAGGATCCTTACTATAAGGACCCCAACATAAGATACCCATAACTTTGGGGAAGCTCCCATATGTACCTAAGCATAGGCCAGCAGACCCGATCCTCGTTTTTAAAACAGCTCGGGCTGAAGTACTGCGGAGTTGCCGGTGACTTGTGCTTCCTTTTTTGCCGGGCTCAGGAGCTGCATGGCAAGGGGTTGCAAGCTAGCTTGCGCTTGAGAGGCTGTTCTAGTAACTTCAGAGTTTTGCTGGGATACTTGGGCTTCAACCATGTGAGCGTGCCAGCTTCGGGCATCTCGTCCCAAGACCGTGCATGTCAGACTACAGGAAAAGGAGCTTGAAGTGAAAGGGCCCGATTTGCGGAGCCTCGGAAGCTGTCATCAGTAGAGAACTGCAACAATTGTCCTCAGAGCAAGAGCAGTAACAATGAAGACCAAAACTCGAGATCAGACGTTTTCAGTTGACTCAGGGTGTCGAGGTCTCAAATATTGGAGGCTTCATGCCGAAGACATATTTCTGCCCTGTGCTCCAAACTCAAATGCCCTCTGCCCAAACCCCTCAACCCCAAACTCTAAAACCCTAAGCCCTGAACCCTAAAATCTAAACCCCAAGCCCCAAACTGCCCTAAACCCTATAGATCCCCTCTTAAAGGAGCCCTATAGTACCCCTTGAAGGAGCCCTAAGCCCTACACCCTTCCGCTCGCAAGTTTCATGCCCGTGGAGATCAACCTTCTCGAGGGGATCGTAGAGATGGTGTCTCGCCTGATCTGATTGGATAAGCTAGGGGTTTAGGGTCTAGGGCAGCTAGGACCCCGAGTAGGCCCTTATCCCCTTTGCTCAGGGCTTAGGTTCCCAGACAAGCCCCTTTAAACCAAAAAAATGGCACCCGTTTTTTATTCCTAGGTTACTCTTGGGTCTAGTAAGGGTTCCTTTAAGGGTCCCTTCAAAAGGGATCCTTTGGGGATTCTAGAAGGGCATAGGGTTTAGGGCCTACTTGGAGGTTCATGGGGTCTTTTAAGGGTTCTCTGTGGTTTAGGGCTAGATATAAGTGCGGCTATACGTGCCCTAATAGGAGTTGTAATTATCGTTACCCTACTTCTAACTCCACTTACAACTACTCTAAACCCTAAACCCTAAACCCTAACCCCTAAACCCCTAAACCCTAAACCCTAAACCCATCTGATCTACTTCGAGGATTCAGGCGACGTTCGCGACATGTGCAAACCCTGGGGGCCAATGTAGGGGCCTACGGAAACTTCCCAATCTGATTCCTAGGGGTTTAGGGTTTAGGGTTTAGGGGTCTTTTCCCAATCTGATTCCTAGGGGTCTTTCTCATAGTAAAAGTATAGTATAGTATATCCCCAAACCCTATTCTAATTTTTAAGGCCCCTGTACTCTGAGGCCGCTCACTCCTATACCTGAAGAAAGTGGGCAGAGCGGACGGAGTCCGAGACCCCTGAAGCCACGATGCGATGTCGGTTATCCCTGAATCCTCGAACGCTGCCAACATCCGCAAGCCTTGCAACCCGACGCATATCCCGATCCCTGGTCGTCTGAAGCCTCGAGCCCTTTGCTTCGAGTCAGTTCCTTTCTGGATGGGGGTACATGAATGTTTAAGGCAATCCTGAAGCCTCAGCACGTCAACGTGGGGCTTAAATTATATAGGGCTTCATATTATGATTTGGGGTATATGCCTTGATTAAGGGGGTATTGGACTCTCTGCAAAAGTCTTAGTGAAACGAGATTTGTAGGGGGGTGATCGAGCCAGGGCTGAGGACTTAACATGAGGGGTTTAGGGTTTCGGGTAGTAAATGTAGCACGGCAGCCCACGCATCCTTAAACCCCCCTACAACTTGGACCCCAAAAGTATGTAGAATAATTGCCTTTTATAGGTTTTGGGCCATGATTTTACCTACTTCTGATTGTCTAGGAACACCTTCATACAAACCTCAACCCCGAAGCTGTGGATGCCTAATCAGGTTCTGGAATTCTGGCGCGAGCCCCCTCGAGCAGAGCTGGAGGTGCTGCCAGAGGTCCAGGCTTGGCTCTCACTGGTTTAGGGTTGTTTAGGGTATATAGGGATGTCTGGGGTAGAGAGATACCTAAGGTTGTTCAGGGTACATAGTACATAGGGAGATCTGGGTGAGAGATACTTGGGATGTATAGGTTATGTAAGGTGTAGGAGGAATTGGTACATAGGCACTGTGTGTGGGGTATTTCGGGTATGTAATGTATATATATATATATATATAAATATATATATGTATAGGACATACGGTTGATGATGTAAATCCTGCATTACCTTTAATCAGGAATATACCATAATCCCCCTAGTTTAGGGCCCTTAAAGAAGGCATGATTTATGTCATCAACAGTATTTGTGACAGTGCAGGAGTTCGGTAGTACTTGGAGGTTCATTTGCAGTTATAAGTGGGGTTATAAGTAGGGTAACCCGATTTATAGCCCAAATTAGGGGACTGATAACCCTGCTTATAATCCCTGTAGAACCCCTAAAGGAGCCCCATAAACCCTACTCAGAACTACCCATGACACCTCCAAGTAGGGATGAAGTTTGACTTTAAAGTGCTCGGGGTCGAGGAGAAAAGCCTTGAAGGTTGCTTTGGTTTTTCAGGCTTCTTACAGACCCCTTTCAAAGGAACTCTTAAAGGTGTCCTATTCTTATCTAGGCCCGTTTAAAACGAACCCTTAAAGGAATCCTATTCTTATTTAGGCCCCTTATTCTACTAGGGCATTCAGAGGCTTAATGTGGCTTTATGTTCGTCTTCGAAGAGCTTCGGCGCGGGGATTTGAGGCAGAGCGCTTTGGCATCAGTGTCATCCGTCCCATGAGCATCACCACCTCTTACAACCTTGACAACTTGAGAAGCTAAAGAACGTATGTTGCACCTTCTCTGATGACTTCTCGTTGCTGGAGGACTCAGGCTTTTGAAGGTAGCCCGACAGGCTGGGCCTACTGTATAGCTTGCACAAGTCCGTCTCGACCTCGTGATGCCTTAAATTCCTTCCCCGTGCCCGTGTCGTATGACGGCCGTGACAATCAGAAACGACGAACATTAGCCCTAGACCCTAAACCATATGAAAGATTAAGAAAACAAGGACAATTATTCCTAAACTTTATAAGCCATATGAAAGATTAAGAAAACAAGGAAAATCATTCCTAAACTTTATAAGCCATATTAAGACTCAGGGGGCTTATATAGAGTATGGCAGGACGAGGAGGAAGTCGATGAGGGGATGGCCCAGGCCTCAGGCGTTGAGAGAGAGCAGAGCGATTCGCCATCAGGGCATATTCGGGTCCCCTCCTGCAGCAGTAAATGGATAATATATATATATATATATATACACATACATACACATACACATATAATGTGTATATATACATACACACACACAGATACGTATACATACATACATACATACATACATACATACATACACACATACATACATACGCACACACACACACATGTATATATATATATATACACATACATGTACAGATATAGGTATGTGAACTTTCATAGGGTTTAGGGCATAGGGCATCGAGTTAATGGTTCAGGGTCTGGGGTCTAGGGTTTACGGTATAGGGTTTACGGTTTGGGGAGTCGGAATTGTAGCTGCATGCCTGAAGGCAAGAGCAACCACAGTCCTGATACGTTCGCTCATGGTGCCAATACCAGTTATTACCCACTCCCATGCTAGCCTGACGCGACAATGACGACAATGCGAGGCCTGAGATTATGGTCATGAAAGAGCTGGCGAGGAATTGCAACGACTTAACATCCAAGCAAAGTCAAGACAGCCTTTAGAGCTTCGGCCTTGTTTTCCGAGTCTTTGGCATTCACAAGTTTGTACTAATGCTACTACCACTACTGCTACTGCTACTGCGACGACGACTCTGCCTCGTGCTCCTACCCCTGCTCGTACTCCATCGCAACTTCGCCTACCACTACCGCTACTAATAAATACTACTTGCACCACCACCACGACCCCAGGCCATGCCTACGATAACGTGTATTGCTGCTAGTTGCTGACACGACGGTTGCGACTCTACTCTTGAAAATCTACGCCGTGCATCTCGCGCTAAAACCCTCCCAGGAAATGGCGAAGGATTGGCTGGAGGCAAACGCCAAGCAGGCGAAGCAGTTGGCGCAAGCTGCGTACGATCGCATCCCCGACAAGATCCACCTCGAGTCTTTCGGTGGATGAGTTCTGAATCTAAAACCCTCAGCAGGGTGCCGATTAGTAGTGTAGACGTACTGTAGTAATATCGTATGACAATGAGTGTTAGTTTTAGTTTTTGTGTTTGGATTCGTATCAGGGTGACTATTGGTATATGAAATGGTGCGATCTGTTTTTGTAAGGGACCATTGTCAATGTTTTTTGTTATTATGACTACGTAGAGCCAAGACACGATAGGGCCGATAGGGCGTCAGAAAGAACCCTCGCCTCCTGAGGGCTTTTTGAGGGGCTCTATGCTAAATCGGTTGACTTATCTTCAACTGATGAAGCGGTAAGATACACAAGCGGTAAACATGGTTCAGCCACCAACAGCTCCACTTTATCCTGAAGAAATGCCGTTCAGCCCAGGATCATGATCGCTTCGCCGATTCTGCACGTGCCTGTCAAGGGGTCACTGTGAATGCATTAAGTTCCGGCGATTCCAAGCACGAGCTCCCTCAAGCTTTTATTGAAAGTTTGTGTGGACGCTGCTTGCTCGGTCTTTTCAGATGGTTATGGAGATTCGAATTTAGTATACATCTCTTTTTGTGAACAGGGTTACAGCAGCATATGCATGCAACGTTTGTGTGTGCCCTGTGAACTGTGAACAGATCAGTGCCAGAACTCGTGCCGTGCGTGTTTCCTAAACAGTGGAACCACCTATTAACACTAATAAGACTGCTAATACTAATACTCATACTAATACTAGTACAAATCCTGATACTAAGAATACAATAACCCATAGCATTAATAATAATGCTATTCCAGCCAAATTCCTGCGTCCTGCGCCCCCAGTGCCGTCTAGATCGTGAAGCCGTAAACCCTAGCAAAGCAGGAGGCAACAAAACCTTGGACCCTAAACCCTCTGGCACTGCGAAGCTTTACGAGGAATTTCAGCTGAACTGGTGTTTATCTGCAGCGAAACAAGTGCGCCAACAGTTGGTAAGGATGCAATTCCTGCAACAGCCTCCCGCCAGAACACTCAGCGAGAGGATGGTGCCCTCGAGCATGCCGGGTACACCCAGTGTGTACAGATTCCTTGCGCTATTAGATGCCCGCATGAAGGCTGGCACGCAACTGCCTGGGGGCGGAAGCACTCTACCCTGCACGCGCTCATCCCCACTGACCGAGCATGACTCGTGGAGCTCTGATGAATCGACAGCTGTCTATGCTACGCAGCTTATGAGGGAGTGCGAGACCCTTCAAGATAAGACTGGACGAACGTTTTGTGATCGGTAGTGAGAGCCTTGTGTCAGCAATGCCTCACTCCTGACTGCACCTGAGTGCTTCTTTGCCTGAGCCTGAGATCGCTTGTTTCACGAAGCCTTAGACAGTTTGCCTTGTGGGAATCTGCGACGGGCCCCCGGGTTATCCAGCATAGACTAGCAAGGCCCTGAGCGGATTTTGCTTGGCATGTAGTATGCTCAAAGTAGCACGCAGTGTCCCCCTCTTGCATAAGCTAATGTTAGCTTTGTTGTCGTGTTCAATGTACCCGGTATCCTCGTGTTGTGCATGGACTCTGCCGTTAGAGTAGGGGGATTCTCCTCTGGAATCATCTTTGTTTTACGTCCCTGTTGCTTATCCTTGTGGTGACCTGGCACAAGTGAGAATCCAATTAGTCCCTTTTCACACCGACTCCGCACCTATGAACCTCGCCTGGCTTGTCCGAGTTGTGAGAGCGTAAACCCTCAATCCCAACCCCTTAAGCCCTGATCCCTGCTTCAGCCCTCAACCCTCAACCCTAGGGTTCAGGGTTTGAGGGAAAAAAGGATCCCTTTAAAGCTTCAACCCTGAAGCAAAAAAAGGTTGGGAACGGCGATCTTCAGTCTGGGTCGGCTCCACTTGCAGACCCGGGGGCCGCGCCTGGGACAGATCTTGCGGGGGGGGGGGGGGGGTTAGAGTTTAGGGCTGTGGTTTTCCTTTCTTCAGGGCACCCGGCAATCGCAATAGGCCTGGATGCAAAAGGGCTGTGGTTGTTTTCGAATGCCTGGGAGAGAGAGAGAGAGGGCTGTGGTCGTTCAGTACAATATTCACTTCTGTTTTGGTGGGGTGTTGGTCCGGTTCTCTGGTTTGGTCATATCACAGATTAATTGCTCATCAACTTAGAGTCCTAGCTGCTTCCTTGAGCAACGCTCATGTCCTTCCTTTTCGTTCAGCTCAGCTCGCGAATCCAAACCCCCTGAGAGCTGAACCCTAAACCCTAAGCAGCAAGATTCCAACTCGAAAACGCCTTCAATATCCCGAAACCTCCATGCAAGAGCTCCTTCACAGCTACATTGCAAGCCACACTCATAACATAGGGGCCTTAATTTACTTATACTATTTTTGGAAATTCCTTATTCTAGATATAGTATAATGGGTCCCAAAAACCAATTTATTAAGGCCCCTGTATCATAAACCCCTACTATACATCCCTTAAGGATCTTTTTAAGGATCCCTTTAAAGGAAACCCTATTCTAGTTTATTACGGCCCCCTAAGTTACAATGAGCCCCGCTGCCCTCAGGTGCGAATACCGATGCATCGATTTGGAGATGCAGTGGCCGAGTTTGAAATTTTGATATTCGGGCTTTTTCCTCTTCTGAGGGTTCCTTATTGTATACATAGTACAATGGGCACCGAAACTATGTAGAATAATAGTTTTTTCAGGCATTGGGCCATTGTTTCACCTGCTTTTGAGGGTCTAGGTAGGATGGTTTGGCCGTGAAACTCGGCTTCCGATCCACAGGTCTGACGCTTCGAGCGACCAGAGAGAGAGAGAGAGATAGACAGAGAGAGAGAGAGAGAAGATGGTTTAGGGTTTAGGGAAAGGTTTCCTAAGGCGACTGAGGAAAGCTCTGCCCTAGAGCTTCGCTGCCGGCATGCAGTGCAAGTCCGTGCTTAAAACCAGGGAAAGGGAGGGCTCTTGGGCTCCTAGGCACTGTCAAAATATCCTATAAAGCTACTACAGGGACACGTTTTCAAGTCTGTTACGAAGTTACGAGGAGTAGTCTGGTTCGGTGTTCCTGTAAAGGCAAAGGCGATGGAGGGATTTCTAGTAGCCTTTTCGAGGGTGAGGGGCTCTGGACTTGAGGGTGTTGTTCTTGTTTTTGTTCTTTCTCTGGTGGCTGTTGTTTTGGGAGTGTAGGGTTTTTTGGTTTCGTCCGTTTCTTGGGTGGAAACTTAGGGTTTTTCGGATCCGGGATTCACTTTTTGGGGGGCGTTCCGCGGGTAGAGGTGGTTTCATTGCTGCCACTGTAGGTTTGGGTATCCGAGTTTATCTTCCAGCTTCAGAAATGGAAGGCGCATATTCGGGGCCCCCTGACCAAGAGTATCGTCTAGTTTGTATAAGGGGCGAGCCGGGTCTAGCCTAGTGGTGTTAGGCTGTAAGGGCCGCTATCGTTTCGAACTTGGTGGCTTTCAACTCGAACTAGCTTTGAAAACTGTTGATGATATAAATCTTGCACTACCTTAATGACCTTAAACTATCGGAACTATTGTATATTCCTTGTTATGGGTAGTGCAGGATTGATACGGGTAGTGCAGGATTTATACTTATTATCAACCGAAACATCTAGACCCCTGCTCAGTTCAAAAAACATCAGGCCCAGAAGAGGTGGAACCTTTGCAGTCGGACGTGTCCCGAGGCTCACACAGACGACCCTACGGGCTACCTCCCTCCGTCACGAGCAGTTCGACATGCGCCCTTGCGCATTCAGACGTAGACGAACTCAGGGGCTTTTCGGGTTAGCTGCTGGTTCAGGCTTGTGGCTTAGAGGGTTTTCCAGTTTTACTCTTTAGCTACTTCTTCATCCCGAAATCTTCAGAAATGCGGGCTCTGCGACATCTGTAAGCGCTCGTCCAGTCGTATTACGATGTGCATCTGCAAGGGGCCAGCCGACAGGCAATCCAGAAAGCGCGAAGTCTTTATCTCCTGACCTGAACCCTCACGGTCATTGGGGCTGCAGGTTTGAAGGTTCGAGAGGTGTGAGACTTTCTTGCTGTTGAGTTTAATGGGCTTGCGCCACACTATACTACAACATTTAGGGCCGGGTTTAGGGTTTAGGGTAATTATATTATAAGATCTGATTAACCATCGGCCCTTGCAAAGCGCTTCTGGGCTCCCGGGAGACCATAAGATTCCAGCTTGCCGGCACCCACCCAAAGCCCGTGCTGAAAGGGTCCCCTCGGGCATATACAAGTCTGTGCAACAAGGGTCTACTTGGAGGGTCGGGGGACTTAGTAAGTAGGTAGTAAGTAGACTTATAAGTACCCTAAATGGGACCCTAATTGGGGTTATGGTACTTATAAGTCCCTAAAATAACCAGTTACTAAGTCCCCCGACCCTCCAAGTAGGGTTGTGCGAAGTGGCATCGCTCAGGATCCAGCCAGTGCCTGTCGACGTCAACATTGAGTACAGGCCTATGAATGTTACCAGCAGGGTGGGTTGCCATTACGGTTGCTTCCAAGGGTCGCTACTCGGTTTGAGATTCTGCCCAGGTGCCATGTAACTGCCAGACATTCTTGTGTGACTGGTTTGGGAGTCCTTTTATCTGGGGTGTTTCTTAAACTAAACTGCTTCCACAGACAAAGCACTATTCCAATTATTCCCGCCACCGGATTCTTCTTCTGGTCTGCTATGAATAGCAGTCAAAGATGCATAATCTATTGGATTATTATGCGGCTGCGACGAAGACTACAATGGCTGGTGGTTTGCATTTTCTTCCTTTCTCATAAATGGTTTCTTTCGCAGTCGTGCCACAGCGGTCCTTAAGCTCCTCGGCCTCTAAGCAGATTCCGGACACCAAGCCCTTGTAGCTTGAGCCTGAGATCCTCAAGGACCAAGGCGATCAAATCGGCACGAAGCCACAAGAATGCTCCGGAAACCCTGTGAGGAGCATGGAGGACAAGAACGTGGTGTCCGTGAACCTTGGCGTTGAATTCGGACTTTCACACTGCCTTATAGCGCTAACAAGTACAACTACGTTGCTCGTCGCTGCGGGTTAACCCA